CACACACACACACACACACACACACACACACACACACACACACACCCTCAGAGACAGTGCCTGGGCACTGACTGCAAGCTCCAGGATTGGGGGAAAAAAAGAGTGAAAGTATAAAAATTTACACACACACTTCTGAAATTTAAACACAAGGACTACTAAAATTTTATATATTTCCTTTCCCTCACTAAACCTGCTCTTAAAGGAACCTTGATAAATTATATGTATTATCCTTTATGCTGCAGTTTAAAGACTGGTTTTAGGGGAAATATGAAACTTAACTTTATGTCTGTTTATTTTATAGTTCTATTAATCAACTAATAGATGCTATATAAGATGTTACTCTTCAAGGTAATTTTACTTCTTACCTTTTGAGCTGCAAGATGGAGGGCTGTTCTCTGGCTGTGATCAGTCTTATTGACATCTGCTCCTGCCTTTAACAGAGCATCTGCACAGTCTAATCTGTCTGCCAACACACAATACATAAGTGGTGTTCTCCCAAATTGGTCTTCTTTGTCTTTAAAAGAAGCATTTCCTGTAAGTATAAGAAACAATGATACTTGATTATTCTTGTCATGGCTAATATAAGTAAAAACTAAATTTATTAAACGACGTGCCAAATGCGTTAAATGAGTTATTTTATTTTTACTTTTCCTGTGAGGTAGACATTATCATTCCTGGATTATAGAGAAGTATCTTTGTTCACAATGAAGGTAGGAGGTGGAACTAGATTTCAAACATATTGATGACTCCTTTTTTTTTTTTTTCTGGTCACGGGGCTTGAACTCAGCTTGGGCGCTGTCCCTCAGCTCTTCAGCTCAAGGTGAGCGCTCTACCAACAGAGCCACTTCCAGTTTTCTGGTAGTTAACTGAAGAGTCTCACAGACTTTCCTTCTTCTGCTGGCTTTGAATTGTGCCCCTCAGATCCCAGCCTCCTGTGTAGCTAGGATTAGAGGCATGAGCCACTGGTGCCCGGATGACTCTCCTATTTTTATGTTGAATAAACTCTTTTTTTTTTTTTTTTTGTCGGTTGTGGGTCTTAAATTCTGGGCCTGGGCGCTGTACCCTAGCTCTTTAGCTCAAGGCTAGTGCTTTACTACTTGAGCCACAGTGCCACTTCCAGTTTTCTGGTGGTTTATTGGAGATGAGTCTCACAGACTTTTCTGTCCGGTGTAGCTTTGATCCACAGATCCACATGATCTACAGATCTCAGCCTCCAGAGTAGCTAGGATTATAGGCGTGAGCCACTAGCCCTGGGCTTTGAACAAGCTTTTGAGATATAGAACTTAGTCTTGTTTTAACTCCATTCTTTTGTCATCAGATAGTGTCAATTGTAGAGTAAGCGTTTACATTCATATGCAGAAGCAAACAACAACCCAAAACGTTTCTACCTATATTTTCAGCTAACCTACTCAGTCTGTGCTGCTATAACAAAGGAACAAAAGACAGGGTGGCTTAGAAATTACAGAAATTTATGTTAAGTAATTCTAGAATCTGGAAATATAAAATCAGGATGTTGGCATGGTCAAGTTCTGGTGAGGGCCCGCTTCTGGATTGCAGATTGCCAATTCCATTTTATTTTTCTACAGTGACAAAAGAGAGCTAGAGTGCTTTCTGGGGTCTCCACTTGATAAGGGCACTAATTTTATTCATGGGAGCTCCATCCTCATAACCTAATTATCTCCAAAAGACATCACCTCTTATTTAACATGGAGGGGAGTTCAGATTTCAGCATATGAATATAGGAGTGGGGTATAGTAATTTAGTCCATAATAGCACAGTATATAAAAAGTACTTAAAATAAACCACAAATTTTAATGTAAAAATCTGTAATCATATAAAATTTCTACAAGCAAACAAGGGTGAAAAACTTTGCAATCTTGGGAAAGATTTGAATATGATACAAAAGAAAAATTTCTGAACAAATTAATAAATAAATTGGATTTCATCCAAATGAAAAATCTTTTGTTTGAAAAATATCATTAGAAAATAAAATGACAAGCAGCAAACTGAGAGAAAATATTTGCCAAATACCAATCTGATAACACCTTCTTTCCAGAGTAAAGAACTCCTACGCTGATTAATAAAAAGACAGACAATGGAATTAAATATGGGCAAAAGTTTTGAATAGACATTTCACTAGATAAGCATATGAAAAGACATACACCATAACTAATATACAGAGAAATGTAATTTCAATTTAGAATGTGCTGCTATTACTCATTGACTTGAATAGCTGGGATGAAAATCAAACCCAAAGCAAACCTGAGAATGTCAAATACTGATGATGATGTACAACCACTAGAACTTGCAGGTATTACTGGTGAGATTGCTGAATGGTAAATAAGAAACTTTGTGACTTTTGTACTAACTCAAATATATACTTAGCACATGCCTAATAAACTTTTGTCTAGTTCATATTTATTAAGGCAAAATAAAAGCATGAAAGCTTACATTCACACAACCTATTCTGTGGATATCTATGCTAGTTTGAGTCATAATTCCTAAAATCTGCAAACATTCCAATTGGATACTGCTCATTAATAAAAAGGAATTAGTTCTGATTTTTCAAACAACACAGAAAAGTATCGAATGCCTTATGCAAATTGTGAGAAATCAGTCCTATATACATACATAAAGGGGGTAAGGGGAGATAAAGAGTATTAGAAGGGGTGAGTATGATCAAAGTACCTTATATGCATATTTAGAAATATAACAATGAAATCCCTTTGCTCAATTAATATACACTAATTAAAAAAATAAAAGCTGAAAACAAAGGGTTCACGGTGCACGGCATTTCTATGCATTCTGGAAAAGTGAAAACTCTTGGGGCAGAAATTTGACTAGTGCTTCCTAGAGGCTGGGTTCAGGGAAGAATCATAAGGTGGTTTTCTGGGTAGCCAGACCTATTCTTTATCTTATATAATTGTATATTCTTCAAAAACAAGTAATTGTACATAAAAGAAGGAAAACCAAACAACAAAAGATGCCATAGTATGTCATACGCTTCAAGTGAAAAAAATTTTGGCTAACAGGGGACCAATGGACTAACCCTTAGCAACTCAGGAGACTGAGATTTGAGGATCACTATTGAAAGCCAGCTTGGGCAGAAAAGTCTGTGAGAGTCTTATCTCCAATTAACTACCAAAAAGCCAGAAGTGGAGTTGTGGCTCAAGTGGTAAAGCACTAGCCTTGAGCACAAAAACTCAGGGACAATGCAAATGTTCTGAGTCCAAGCCCCAGGATCAGCACACAAAAACTTTTTTCCCCTGCTTTGTCAAAGATAATGATGAGATGCTAACAAATTAGTTTAACATATTACACATATATTGAGCATGAGGTAAGACAGTTATTTGCAAGGTGATTTGGCCTGAACTCTGTTAATGGGAGAAGAACATACAGATAAATGAAATGTTTTCTTAGAGTAAATACCAATGCTGGATTAAAAAACAAACAAACACAAAAACACGTTGCATGTGTGCCTGGGGTGTTTTGTGCATGAAACCAGTGATTAATTAGTTCTTAAAAGTACTGATCAACTGAGGATCAGAGTTCAAATCCAGCCTGGGCAGATAAATCCTCGTGAGGCTCTTATCTCCAATAAAAACTACTCAAAAAAAAAAAAAAGCTGGAAGTGGTGCTGTGGCTCAAAAGTACAAAGAAACAAAGAAGCTCAGGGACAGTACCCAAGCACTGAGTTGAAGCCCCAGGACTGGCAAAAAAACAAAAACAAAAAACCCTTATCAATATATATTTTAATCTTAGATAAATACTACACAGAGAGACTTAATACCTTCTTCAGACAACTTACTTTGCTAATATACAGTTCCTCAAGTAATAGTAATAAAAGAACAGTCATTGTACTTGAAATGGAAAGAGCCTGACTAATACAGGTTGTGTAAAACTCCTAGAGGAAGCAAGTATTCTTTTTCAGAATCTTGAAGTTAGAAGTAGATACTGCATTTGAATCAATGTATCTGGCAATAAAAATTTCAATGCACAAGGCTTCTGAGTGGCACAACTTTACTAGGTATTATTCTCTCTGATATCTAGTTTAGAAGATTCCAAAGGCCCTACCACTGCATTTATAGGTAAGGTCTTATTTTAAACTATTTAAACTTATTTAAAACACTGTGGAGCTGAAATGTGGTGAAGCACATTCCTTTTCTTGACTTGTATTAGAGAATACATTATAGCAAGTTAAGTCTCTAGTTCTTCCTTATGAGTAAAGGGCACTCTCTACTAGTGTCTTATTTGTGTTATGTAGAGTAGTAGCTGACATTAGCAAGACAAGAATAATAGTATTATAATTTCCCCTTAAAACATGATGTTGACTTGGAAATAGTAGGAAGAGAGAAGATTTGGGAATTGTGTTTCTAATAAATGCAGAGAAATGGATGCAATCATCAAACCTAGAGATAATCCTAATTGATAAAGTTCAGGGTCAAGGCAAAATCAGTACTATGGGGCTAGGAGGTGACTCTACTTCCCAGGACAGAGAATTTTAGGCCAGTTGCTGCTTCTTTCCAAGTCTCCAGTGATATAGGAAAACTTCAAGCCTTCACTTCAATCCCTGACAGACTTTGCTTTTGAGTAACTAGTATTTGTATTTCCCAGAAGAGGGGATTTAATTGGGTTTTGTCACCAGCATTCAATATGTTGTGCCTATAAGGCAAAAGCTGTCTATTTGAGGAAGGTAGAAGTATATATCCCCTATGCATTGCTAGAAAAAGCAACATTTGGTCTCACTAAAGGACCCGGAATGGCATAAGGGCAAAGGTAGGGTGTTTCTAGCTATTTTCTGCATAAAGAGAATATCATCAGTTTTGGGCTTCCTGGCCAAAAGAAAGTAAGTGAGAGAGGTCTAGGCCTTTATCATTCTATGTTAATCCCTTTTCTTATCATCTTCAATTATAACATTTGGCTAGTACTTACCACATCTATAAGATAACTTATTTTGAAGATCAAATACAGTAACTTACTACTAGCAAGCTTTTCATATCTGCAACATGTTGTACAAATATAAGGTTTATGACAGAAACCAATATCCACTGGAGGGCAGTGCATTTGAATTCACATTCTTGTCAGGGGCAGTTTATTAAAAAGCAGCTGGCTAGTGTGCTGTGTTGTTTTAATTATTCTGGCAACTGTGGAGATGGCCTGTAATCCATGACCAATTGGTGCTTGTTTAACTATGTTTGCATTCTGTATGTGCTCTGTCTGAACACAAATCAGTACGCTGAACTGATGTAACCCTGATGGAAAGCTCCTGCTTGATTGCATTCAGTTATTTTAAGGCTAGTTGAAGCAGAAGAATCTGAATAGTTAATGGGTTAATGTGCAGAAGCCAGAGTTCTGGCTGTAGTTAAAGGAAACAAATGTCACTAGCAATGACAGTTGTGCTAATCAAGTAACTATACCACCACACTGTCCAACACAAATAGGATGTCTACTGACATGCTGTTGCTTATTCTAAAATATACCTTTATGTGACATCAAGGTACATTTATTTCACCTGCTTCATCATACTGTGAA